TTCCATAAGTGAACCTTCGATTTCCTGTCGAAAACATAAGGAAAGCCTGAGGCAAGCTGCGAAAAACTCAAGGAACGCGGAGCCCCTCCCCAACGAAAAGGGTTCCTTCTTCAGGGCCCCGACTGTAGACCCGGGCCCGTCACTCTGTCACACCGAGCCAGGGTTGGGTACTTTCGGCGGTGGACAACAACCTCTCTTTCGCAAACCTCCCCTCAGTGAAAACGGCCTGGGACCGGAACCGACGGGCCTGGATCCGCAAACATGGCGGCCGCGACGCCCTCCCGCGAACCTAAAATGGCCAGTTCGCTAGTCGACGTGCCAGGACAGGAGGTCCATCCACCCCTAAGATTTTCCAGTGTTGAAAACCCCGACAAGATCGCGTCGTGCAAAAAAAAAGAAAATCGGGACGGGAGGTTTGTGGCCGATTTCGGCCTCGGAGCCCCCTCGCCGGGCCTCGGGACCGCCAAAACAGGACCGACCCTAAACGGTGTTTTTCGTTTTTTCGTTTTCCCTCGTAATGTTTTCAATCCGCTTTTGCTGCAAAACGGAATCGAACCGAAAACGGCCCACGAAATCGCCAAAACACCGTTTAGGTCCACCCCTGCGTCACAAAACGACTCAGGATGAAAAGCCGATCCCAAAGAATAGGTCGAAACCTCCGTGGGGTCGACCTCATGACAACATCACAACGTCGGGGGTCTGGGATGTTGGGAACACGGCTCCTGCAAGCCACCCTCACAAACAAGCTGGTCCAGCACAAGACCGTGGACCGGGCGCAAGACAGATTGGCTTCCCCTGGGAAAAAACGATTGTGGATCACCCCGACGACCAAGTTCATCTGGCACAAGGTACGCGCGCGGGGGCGGTGGTCATGAATCGCCCCCCGAAAATTAGAAGAAACAGAAAAAACGCCAGGGGGACATGCTTACCAGCGTGGTCCCGGCACTGTGGGCACAGGCTCTACGCATGTCCACTGCATGAGCCCCAGAGGCAGCAAACAATTGTTTTCACGGTTCGGAAACGTTCAAAAATGGCGACCCGAAACGGCGACAAAAACGGCTTCGGGATGGGAGACCCAACCAGGACAAGGAACACAAACAACAACGGAACCGGCAAAACATCGGCGACGGAACTGGCAAGAACACGGCGAAATGGAACAAGTGACAAAAAGGTCCTGTCGCTTCCAGAGCTCAGTAAATATGTGCACTGCATGCGGCGCACTTTCTGGACCAATCAACGTGGTGCAATCTATGTGGTGCACTTGGTTTTGATCAACTGTGATGTCCAGCCCACTGCTCGCACAAACACCCCACCCACCCACCCGCAATTTGGTTTGCAAACCTCATGCGGCGGCGATCGCGATGAGTGCTTGGCGCTGGCTGGTGCATCTCTGCGGCCGCGCCAGCCCGCGCATGCGCGCGCAACGGCCAGGTAGTTTGGCGCGACCGACGAGGCCGCGGTGGTGCTGACCGCTCGGCACAGCCCAGAGGGCACTTGGGTGCGAGTCGGCGGCTTGGGCGGGTGCGGGATCATGGCAATGTCGACACTTGTAGACACGATGACGATGATAGAGGCGATGTTGGTGACGACAAGTGTAAACACGATGATGCTGATGATGATGATGATGATGCTGATGATGATGATAGTGGCGATGACAGCGCCGATGCTGATCACGCCAACGATGATGACGGCGTCTTCGCGTTGGTGATGAAGGTTTCGGAAAGAATTCGAAATTCGCGCGCGTCAGACGCGCGAGAGTGGCTCAAATGGTATTACTTGACATGGATCGTGCCACCCCAGCAAGCGCGCAAGGGCGTTCGAAAGATTTCGACATGCGCGCGCACGAAGCCCGTTTGGTAGAATTAATAGACATATTAAACAGCTCACGATTTTCTTAAGAATTCGCAGGAGAGCGCGCGCACAAGCTTTTGTTGAAACTCAGTGTTGCGAAACCCTATGTTTGTGTATGTTGGTTTAGACACTCGGTTTTGATATCCTCCCGAAGCCGAATGTTTTGAAGGATTGCGGCATGCGCGCGCGACGACGCGCGCGTGTGCACTTCGTCCCATTTGTTGCAAAGGGATTTTCGTGACGGCACGCGCGCAAAGGCGTTCGAACGATTTCGACATTTGCGCGCGCGATACCCGCTGGCAGCATTTTATGAACATGCTAAAAAATCATGATGTTCGTAAGAATTCGCAAGAGAACGCGCGCACGCTTTTGTTGAACATCCGTCTTGCGAAACCGTGTGTGTTAAATGTTGTTTGGGCACTCTTGTCTGAAACCTTCCGGAACAATGACGGTGTTTGAAGGACTTCGGCATGCGCGCGCGACGACGCGCGCGTGTGCACTTGGTCCCATTTGTTGCAAGGTGTTCTTGAACATTTACGATGTGTGGTTCACGAATGTGCGCGCGTAATGTTTCTTGCAGAGGGTGGCGGAAGGGGGGGCGATACTGGTTCGGCTGGGATAAGTGCACGCACAGGTCGGATGGACATTGGGTCAGAATCCTATGCGTTTTACATCGGTTCCCGCGGGGTGGGTCAGGGTGGGGGAGGGTGGTAGAACATACTTAAAGGGAAATTAGGACACACAAATAAATACACACAAATAAAAATAGTCCCCATATTTTCCCATATTTTCTGGGTTTTTGTCTTCCCCCCCAATTCCCATATTTTCCCATATTTTCCTGGGAATCGAGGATTAATTGTGTCTGTGTGTTTCTTCCCCTCCTGAATACTGTTTGTAGAGAAGAGAAAGGAGAACATATGGGATGGCCTTCACGCTGCCAGCATCCGCGCGGGACTTCCTCCAATCTTCGGGCAAACATCCCATCTTCCCACCCGCGGCGTGCTGGTGAAACTCGGCTGGTGTCAAGACGCGATGACCCTTTTTATCGTATAGACCGACGCCTCGGACGATCGTGTGCTGGTGACTAGATTCGGAGGGGTGCAAGTAGTCTGGCCTCGGAATGGGGCTGGAGTCTCATTCGTTTCAGGGAGAGGGATATGTGTGACGCATGCGTTAAGTCGGGCCTGTCCCCCTACAGGGGGATGATCGACGAAAAATAAAAAAATACCCCAAACATAATCAAAAAACAATCCAAACATAGTTTGGGCACTAGTTTTTCAATATTGTGTTACCTTGTTGGTGCATTGTTGGGGTATTTGTTTATTTTTCGTCGAAAATCCCCCTGTAGATAGACACGCCCGACATAGCGCATGCGATATGATACAATCTGCGCGACGCAGTGCGAGCCATGAAACTATCCTTGCAGGCATCTCGCGCATCAACAATTCCAAATGCTGTTGCATCTCCTCGAAGATGAGATTTCTGCCGAATTACTCGGTCGTAGTAAAAATGATAGAAGCTTGTCCGGCTATTGCGAAACAGAGCTCAGTCCTCCCCCTGCAGCGGCCTGGTCAGTAAGTCCTGCAACTGGCACGGTGAACCATTCAGTAGGACGACAATTGCTGCAAAATGTGGCCATGCCAACGCTACAGACGCTACTGAATAAAATTAGATGTAACCCGCCGGCAACTTATATGCGCGTCCGTCCACTGGCCAACGGCAGAATGCCAAGTGTCCAACACGATGTCTCCCACGGCCACATAACATCAATCGCACGCACATGGCTTATTCCTGCTGCCACGAATGCAAATTTTGCCCTGCGGTCAACATCGTAAAATCGTACTTCGAATCCCCAGTATGGCCGCAAGTCGGAATCATGCAGTCGCTCCAGACCACCGTATGGACAACTCCCGCGGCACCTTGTACGAAGTCAGCTCCGCAGTCAGCGGCGCTGAAAGGTCATACCATCTGTGAGAATTGAAGAAGCTAGACAAGGCTACCGTCGCCTCATAATAAAACCGTCAAGTGCCAGCACCCTGCGGCAAGCTGGGCGTGGGCCAGCTCTGGCAAGTCGCCGTGTCCGTCTTCTCCGCCGCAGGTCAGTCGTGCTGCCGCTCTGAAGGAGAGCTGTGTGCCGATCCCCTGCGACGTTCTGGACAGCTTCAGGGCCGAGTTGGCGAAGAACCCACGTGCGTTCGATGCTCATCCTGGGGACCTTCCTGGGGCCACTGGCACCACTGATGCGCCGATGCTGCGTCGAGTCGGCGAAGGAGAGTCGAAATATAATGGACCCAGACATGCGACGTCCTGAGATTTGTCCAATACGGGGTCCCTGGAAGTCCCGACCCTTTTCCCCGGACCGGTTTGTTATCCCGAGTCGATGTTTGACAGTCCCGAGGCCCGGCGAGGGCCCCCCGAGGCCGACATTGGCCAAAAACCTCCCGCCCGGAGTTTTCATTTCTTAAAACGTCGCGATCCTGTCTGGTGAGTAGATCCGCCAGGTGGGCCTCAGGAAGGACCCCCAAAACTGATATCTGAAATGCGGCGCCGTGGCGCCCTCGGGCAGGCTCCGCCCCCCCCCCCCCACACCACCCCCCCCCCCACCCCCCCCCCCCCCCCCCCCCCCCCCCCCCCCCCCCCCCCCCCCCCCCCCCCCCCCCCCCCCCCCCCCCCCCCCCCATGGGACATGCCCGCGTTCGCACGTGAGGGCCTGGCGCCTTCCGCGCTGGGCGGACGGCAGCCCAGCCGGACACCGCGACCGCAGGAAGAAGCCCAGCACATGGTAGGCTTGTTTTCTTCCAACCGCCACCAAACCATAAGTAGGAGGTTTGGAGGAGAGCTCCTCCTCCTCTCCACCTCCTCCTCCTCCTCATCCACCTCCACCTCACCTCCGTCCACCTCCTCCTCCTCCTCCTCCTCCCCTCCTCTTATCTCCTCCTCCTCGTCCTCCCTCTTCGTCCTTCTCCTCTCTCCTCCTTCTTATCCACCTCCTCCTCCTCCTCCTCCTCCTCCTCCTCCTCCTCCTCCTCCTCTTCGTCCCCTCCTCCTCATCCTCCACCTCCTTCCCCCGTCCAACTCATGGTGGTGGAGACCACGCCCATCAGCACGGTCGTGCAGGCGCAGGCGGCCGTCCGGCTGCTCCTGGCCGCTCAGCTCGGAGCTGGAGGCCGCCGAATGCCTGAGCTGGGGTCCCCAGGTGCAGCCAGGACGAGGTGCACGGTTTCCCCGGGGGCCGTAGGCGACCCGAGGGGGAGGGGGAGGAGGAGGAGATGGAGGAGGAGGAGGAGGAGGAGGAGGAGGAGGAGGAGGAGATGGAGGAAGGGGGAGGAGGAAGCCGATGGAGGAGGAGGAGGAGGAGGAGGAGGAGGAGGAGGAGGACGAGGAGGAGGGGGAAGGGGAGGGGGGAGGAGGAAGAGGAGGATGAAGAGGACGGGTCGCCTAAGCCCTTCGGAGAAACCCTCCAGGACGAGGATGGCATCGGGGGAGGATGCGTCGAGAACCTCTGAGATCCAGCGGCTCCCCAGACATGCGACGCCCTGAGATTTGTCAATACAGGGTCCCTAGAGGTCCCGAACATTTCCCCGGGACCGGTTTTTCATCCTGACTCGTTTTGTTGACGGTCCCGAGGCCCGGCGAGGGCCCCCCGAGGCCGAGCGTGGCTAATGTTACGACGCGATCATGTCTGGGGCGGCTCTGGAGGATGCCGCGACCTTCTCAGAGCACCCTGGAAGGCTCCGAGAGCGTTCTGGAGCGCTCTGGAGCGGATCTGTCATCGTGCCAGACCCGCCCGATGAGCACGCCGCGAAGAGGAACGGCGACTCACTTCGCGCTTCGAAGTGCACGAAGAACTTCGCGCTCTCGGGCCGCCCCCCAGGGCAGAAGAGGACGACGAGGAGTCGGAGCCAAAGCACGACGCGCGAATAGAACGTCGCTCCCTCGAGGGCGCCCTCCAGACGAAACGAGGAGAAGGAGGACGACGAGTAGGCTCGGGGCCGAAGCGCGAGGCGCGAATGAAACTTCGCGCCCTCGAGGACGCATAGAACACTCTGGAACGGATCCATCCTAGTCCCAGCCCAGTCCAATGAGCACGCTGCGAGGAGGAGGGGGAAGGAGCGAGGAGAAGGAGGAGGAGAAGGAGGATAAGGAGGAGGATGAGGAGGAGGAAGAGGAGGAGGAGAAGGAGGGGTTTAGAGGTGCGAGCAGTGTGCGCGTGTGGAGAAGAAGGCGGAGGAGGAGGAGGAGGAGGAGGAGGGGGAGGAGGGGGAGGGGGAGGGGAAGGAGATGGAGGAGAAGAAGGCGGAGGGAGGAGGGAGGAGGAGGAGAGGAGGGGAGGGGGGAGAAGGAGGAGACGGAGGAGAGAGATGGAGGAGGGACGTAGGAGGGGTCGGGGACGAGGGACGAGGAGGATGGAGGAGGAGGAGGAGGAGGAGGAGGAGGAGGATGGGGACGAGGAGTGAGGAGGAGAACCAGGACGAGGAGGAGGAGGAGGAGGAGGAGGAGAAGGAGGCGATAGAGGAGGAGGAGGGGGGGGAGGGAAGGAGGAGGAGGAAGGAGGGAGGCGGAGGCGGAGGAGGAGAAGCAGAGGAAGGAACGGAAGAGAAGCAGAGGCAGGAACCACCACCACCGCAAGCCCAGCGGCGGCGGCGGGGAGCCCCAGAGGAGAGGCAGAGGCAGGGACCACCACCACCACCGACTGCCCAGCGGCGATGGGGAGCCCCTCAGGGGATCACCAACGATTGCCCAGCGGCGAGGGGGGGGAGGAGGAGGAGGAGGAGGAGGAGGAGGAGGAGGAGGAGGAGGAGGAGGAGGAGGGGGAGGAGATGGAGGAGGAGGGGGAGGGGGAGGAGGAGGGGGAGGCGGAGGAGGAGGAGGAGGAGGAGGAGGGGAGGAGGGGAAGAGGAGAGGAGGAGGAGGAGGAGGAGAGGAGGAAGCGAGGAGAAGGGATGAGGAGGAGCAGGAGGAGGAGGAGGCGGAGGAGTGAGAAGGAGAGGAGGAGAAGGAGGAGGAGGAGAAGGAGGAGAAGGCCGACCCCTGGGAGTGCGCGCCGGGCGTCGTCCGCAACAGGCGCCGCTCGGGCGCGACCGCCGCCCCCGGGCTTTCGGAGGCAGTGATCCCTGCTGCCCCTCTCTGGCGCAGAAGGCGCCGAGGGGAGAAATCACCACTCTCCCTTACCGCCTCACTCCTCCCTACCTACTCCGCCTCCTCATCCGCCCCCAGTGGGAGGCCCCCAACATCATCCTCCTTCCTATCTATCCTTCCTACTCACTCCTCAATCCTCCCACTCAGTACTTCCCATCATTCTACAGCATCTCAAATACAATCCTAATCAGACTCCTCATCCTTTCCTCCTCCTCCTCCTCCTCCTCCTCCTCCTCCTCCTCCTCCTCCCCCTCAGCGCGGGAATATGTGGATCCAGGTCCATCCAGACCCGGGTCGCTCCTCCTCCTCCTCCCTCCTCCTCCTCCTCCTCAGCGCGGGAATATGTGGATCCAGGTCCATCCAGACCCGGGTCGGTCAGGCTTTGCAGGATCCTGCCAAGGTCCTGCAAGGTCCAGCAGGGTCCTGCACCCAAGCCCGGGTCAGTGCAACCTTGGCACTGCAGGATCCTGCAAGATCTGGCGCTCTGACTGACCCCCGTTTGCATTGACCCGCGTCCCTTAAGCCCCGAGGGATTCGCCACTTCGGCGGAGCATTGCTGACCATGCCCAGGACGCGCTTATGGTGGGAAAGAGGGGTATGCTGATACTTGTAGACAAGCGTGACAGTGATTATGACGACAAGGCCCAATAGTCGCAGAAGCGCCCAAAGACGTCCAACGATGGCTCCAAGACAGGCTCCCGAGATAGCCCACTGGGGCCCCGAGAACCTCAAGATGAGCGAAGTGTTGTCTCGAGAATCCATCACAGGGCCTTCATCCGTCTCCTCCCCGCTACGTCCTCCAAAGTACCCCTCTCCTTTTGTCCTCATCGCCCCTCCTTCCCCCTAACCTTCCTGTGCGTTCGTCACCAGACCACCTGACTCCTGATTCCTGTCGCCATTGGTGCTTTCCGAACACTGCCGCTTACGTCACCACTTCCTTTTCCCCCTCATCCTTCCCCGTGGCCCTGGCTGTGTTGCCCCGTTGCGGTTGCGGGTGACCGCGGACCAAACTGCCTCACCAGGTTGCGTGCGGGTGCCCGCGAGCCAACGCGTGTTGCCCCGTTGCGATTGCGCTCCCCAACATCATGCTTCGAATTTGACTCGCCGCCTGCTTCTGCACATCATTTCGCCGCCCCTTATCCCCTACCCCCCCCCCGGCGTCGTGGCCTTGGCCCCACTGGCGGACTCACCCATCTGGGTGGGCATCTGTGTCTGTTCCCTCAGGCTTCGCGGGGCCTATCCCCACCTGGGAGGCAGGGTTGGTGGAGCTGAGGTCCTCCTCCTCCTCCTCCTCCCATCCTCCTCCTCCTCCCCCCTCCTCCCCCTCCCCCTCCCCCTCCTCCCTCCTCCTCCTCCTCCTCCTCCTCCTCCTCCTCCTCATCCTCCTCCTCCTCCTCCTCCTCCTCCTCCTCCTCCTCCTCCTCCCCCTCCTCCCCCTCCTGATCCTCCTTCTCCTCCTCCTCCGGGGAGAGATTCGACCATCTGCTGCTCGCCCATGCGTGGCCGCCTGCTTCCGCTCGCCCGCGGCCGATCGCGCGGCTGGCGGCACCCAGCGCCAGGGCGTCGAGCCGCAGCGCGCCCGCGCCCATGTCGCGCAGCAGCGCCTCGGCGGCCTCGGCGCCCCCGGGCTGCCCGCTGCACGCCGACAGCGCGCTGGTGTACGAGACCAGCGTGGGGCCCAGGCGCGCACCCCGCATGGCGCCGAGCGCGTGGAGCGCCAGGTCGAGGCGGCGCGCTCTCGCGCAGGCGCCGATGGCCGCGTTGTGCAGGGCGACGTCGGAGGGCACCCCGGAGGCGAGCGCGCGGTCGCGCCACCGCAGCGCCTCTTCCACCTGCGGGTGCATGCGGCGACAGTAAGCGGCCACGACATCGAGGACGCACCACGGGGGATGAGCTGCGCATGCCAACAGTCGCCAGAGCACCGAAACTGGCTAAGTGCTGGTTGTGGCCGGTGTGGGCGTCCCAAAGCACGACCAGAACCAAAGTGCTCGTGTCGAGGCCGGTGGGTTCTCTCCCGAGAGGCCCTCCACACAAACATCCGACTAGTTGGGGTCGGGGTTCCTTCTGGTGCGCGAAGGCATGAGAAGCGGAATGAACACGAGTTGTCGAAACTCCACGCGGATCTACTGGATCGGCGCCAGAGGCGCCGTCAGGGAAGGTGGGCACAGCGCCGATTCAATACGAGATCCGCGAGCAGCTCTGAAAGTGTATGTTCATAGCGCTTTTGCCCACGGCTCGGCTTAAACAATGTTGTGCGTTCTGGTTTTGTTTCCGTTTTGCCTTGTTCTATCTTCGTTCCGCCTTTGCTTCAGAACGAAACCAAAATGAATACGGTCCACGACATCGCCAAAAGCACAATTTAACTCGAGCCCTGCTTACAATGTGTTGCTCGCTTTCGACACCTGCCCGGTCGCTGCCGCAGCCCGGATCACTGCTGTGTAGGACAGCACGTCGGGCGTGAGTCGAACTGTCGCCATGTCCTCCAAGCATCGCAATGCACCCGCGAGGTCTCCGCACCGTGCAGCGGCGTCGACCGCGCTGTTGAAGGCTATGGAATTGGGGATAACTGCCTCCTCCGGAAGGGTGACACTCACGAGCGGCGAGCGTATCCATGTCCACGCCCTCACCATCTGGATCATGGGTTTTGGACGCTACAGTCGGGACGTTGCCCTAAGGAACCCTATATAAGGAACGAGACCCCTTTCTCCCATCAGTTGAAGTTCGATCTCCCATCGGAAACCTGAGGAAAACCTAAGGCAAGCTGTGAAACAATCAAGGAACACGGAGCCCTTCCCCAACAAAAAAGGTTCCTTCTTCAGCGCCCCGACTGTATCACGTGGATGCGCGGTCGCATGGATACGCTCCGCTCCGCCTCCGTAGACAGGGTCGCGGCCCCAGAGTCCGGCCCGCGAGGCCATGCAAGGCAACAGGGGGAATGGCGAATCGGCCGCATGCAGCCGCTTGAGCGACCCGGCGTCGAGGAACGCGGTGGGGCCGAGACCAGCTCACGCCGCAATTCTCGCAACCCCCTCTGCTCCCCCCCCCCTTTTTCCCCTCCGCCCCGAGTCCGCCCACATCTGCTGCAGCCAGCCCAGCGCTTCCTGAAAGAGCAGACAAGCCACCCTCAGAACAAGCACCCCGACAAGAAAGGCGTCTAGCGCACACGCACCCAAGGCAGGAATCGAACAGACCAGGGCTGTTCAGTAAACGCCCAGGGCCGTTGCACTGGAGGAAGAACAAACGGCACAACATAAACGTTTGGAGGTCCGCGCAGATTCCTTGGATCCGCGTTGGGCCCCCTCCCTGGGGCGCGGAGCGCGCCATGGGGCGGCGCAGGAGGCTCCGCCAGGGGGGACCAGGCGCCGGTCCAAGAAATCCGCGCGCAGCGCCGAAGGTTTATGTGTATGGCGGTTTTCCTTCTTCTTCTTCTTCGATGAAAACGCCACGCATGGGGGTCGGGTTGGTTGTTCCTTCCTTGGCTCCTGACTGCGCCCAGCCCTGCCGCAGGCGTCGATCACGCTGGCGAAGGTCACCACGGTCGGCCGCAGCCCCGCGCGCCTCGCCCGCTCCAGAACCGCCACGGCCTCGTGGGCCAGCCCGGCCCGCGCGCACGCGTGCACGGCGGTGTTGCAGGCGACGATGTCCGGGGATTGCTGGAAAGGCAACGAACAATGACACAAACATACTAATCTCACGTCGGAGGTGCGCGCGAATTTCCCGGATCAACGCTGGACCCCTCTGGCGGCGCCTCCAGCGCCGCCCCTGGCGCGCCAGGGAGGGGGCTCCAGCGCCGATCCGAGCAATGCGCGCGGACCCTCGAATTGATGCGTTTATGTCACTGCTCGCTCCCCTGAAGGGTACCCCCAGCTAAGCACTCCTTTTGTTTGGAGCCCCTGGGGTCCCCTGGGCCTCGTGACGGGAAGCTCTGGACGTCGTGGGGGCCTCCTTGGCAACGCTGGGGGCACCTCGGGCCCTGGGGGCACTTCTAGCATCAAGTCGGGCCTGTCCGCCTGCAGGGGTAGTTTGGACGAACAATGAAAAACCTGTCCTTGTACAGGGGGATGCTGGACGCTTTGCTATTATTATTATTGTTAGTATTATTATTATTATTTACTATTATTATATTACTATTATTAGTATGAGTAATACTCTAAATAGTATGAGTAATATTATTAATGTTAGTATGAGTATGAGTATGAGTATGAGTGTGAGTACTAATATTGGTATTGGTATTGGTATTGGTATTGGTATTCGTATTGGTAATATTAGTAATAGTATTAGCATTCGTAATCGTATTAATACTGGTATTCGTATGACTATTAGTATTAGTATTAATATTAATATTCGTATTCGTATTAATATTAGGATTGGTATTCGTGTTCATATTCGTATTAGTATTAATACTCGGATTCGTATTCGTATTGGTATTCGTACGATTATAAGTATGAGTAATATTATTACCGGCATGCTTACTGTTCGTATTATTAGTAGTAGTAGTATTACGATTATTATTAACTAGTATTACCATTATTATACAAGTATTATTTTAATGGAAAAATGTGGATATTCTAAGATATACCGAAATTCACAAACAATGCTACAACAATCGTCCCCTCACTATCTTTTTAAATAAATTTGAATACTCCTCCTGTCGAGGGGCAAACCCGACGTAAGGGAAGGCGGGAGGGCCAAAAAAACAGATAAGGAGACAAAAGAATCGAACCCCTTCGTCTTCGACCCCGCGTCCCGGCCCCCCCCCCCCTCTTCCCCCCAGTTTCAAAGTGGGTCTCGGCCTCCCAAAAGCCCTGAGGGCTCCACTAGTTTTGTCCACTGAATTCTAGCAATCCCCGAGCTGTCGGGAGAGGCGCGGGCCGCCTCCATGCCGGCGAGCCAATCCAACGCTCGGAGGGGCGCCCATGGTGACCACCGCGGCCCCCCCGCCGGGCCCAACGCCCGTCCAGATCGGTCCCCGGGCCTTTCCTTGATGGGCCAGTTTTCCGCCACCACCACCAGAAGTTTGATGGGGGGAGAAGGATGAGGACGAGGAGGAGGAGGAGGAGGAGGAGGAGGAGGAGGAGGAGGAGGGGGAGGAGCAACAGAGCAGGGCAGCGCCAATGATCCGATGGTGCGATGAACCTGAGGCTACGCCACCCTGCAGGCCTCGGGTGATAACAGAAAACGGATCGGGCGGTCGAGAACCACCTGGGAGGCTCGATCGTCTCTGGGGGCCCTGCACAGGGCCCCCATTGACAAAAAACGTAACCCCCATTTGGGGACACATCGGGGGCTCGCCTATGCACTCCCACGCTGTGCAAAATCGAAGGCAAACGACTCATAAGCTTGCCCCAGCACCTTCCCATCAAGACTCTCGGCGCGGAACCGTCCAGACCTCCGAAGGTCGCGAGGACCCCGCGACACGGCCATCCCCCTCTCGGCCAGACGCAACTGACGAGGAGCCTCGGAAAGCGCCCGAAAGTTCTCCGCGCTGAGGAAAGCCTGAATGGGAACTGCACGGCAGAAAACCCCTACCTCCAGGGCCCCTGAAGCACACGTGAGAATCGGAGCGGGGCTTCGAGCCTGGAGGGCGAAAAGGGGATCATCCTGTAGGTGGCCCTGGGAGAAAACCTCGGCGGCCCTGCGAGAGCCGCCGATTGAAACCAGGCGAGCCCTACAGCCTCCAGCGCTAAAAAAATCCTCGTCCCTGGGCCCCCCCCCTTCCGAGGATTTGTCCTTGAGGCCGAGCTTTCCGAGGAGCTTCGCCGCCTCCCTCTCCAGCCAGTCGCGTGGCGGGGACCCTGGCAGGTAGTGCACCTTCCTGCTGGCCTCCTGGCTGTCGCCCGCCGCCTCCAGTCCCCTGCGCGGCCTCCATGAGCGCGATCTGACGCTCGTCCCATGTGTTGGCCTGCTGCTCCATTCCCAACATGATCTGCAGCTCGAAGCGATCGGGTGTGTTGGTCTTATTCTTGTCGAACAACATGCTTTGATCCTGAAGTGCCTGCAATGGGCGGCCAAGATGTCCAACGCCGTCAGAACGAGAATCACCACTCTTGGCCTCCTGAGGGATAGTCCCGCGCCGCGTTGGATACGCGCGGCCAAAGAGGGCCCATGGTTGTGGCCATTGCCATCGGCCTTGTAATTATCCGCGTAGTTGCGCCCCGTCTCGTGCCGCACACCTTCACGAGCGGCACTTCGGCGCCCACCATGTGGCCAGTCACCTCGGCCAGCTCGCGCGCGCTGGTGAGTGCGAGTCTGCTGATCACCTCCAGCAAGACCGCCAACGCGCCGCCCCTGCCGACCTTCTGGTTGTCCTTGGCCTCCTGGCACAGGGCCTGCTGCAGACGGGCCTGCTTGGCGCCCTTCGAGCCGTCGCTGCCCTCCGTCACCTCGCGCTCGCCGACCGCCTAAGTGGGCCCCTCCATCGCTGCCACCAAGCACGAGGGGCAGGCCTTCGAAATGGACGCGCGCATGAATATGGAAGTGCAGCTCTGCAGCAAGTTGAGCCTCACACAAGCGACAGTCGAAGGGGCCTTCGGGGGCGTCGGGATCGAGGGTCGCGCTGAGCCGCTGCTGACAAAAACACGAAGCCCCCTGAGACGAAGCACGAAGCCCCCTGAGTAGCTTCTGCGAGGAGAGCCCAGAAGCAGTGAGCCGCTCGAGAACGCATCAACCATTGCCTTTTTGTCAGAAGCCAGCTCCCGCAATCGTGAACCGTGCAAACATAGCCTTCAGCGTGTCCCGCGGGTGCCCCGGGCGGGGCCTGTTGGGGCACACCTAGAAGAGGAATGCAGACCGACAACCAAGCCGCCTTGACAACCGAGAAGTCAAACTCCATGAGCCAGTGCCTCAGATTTTCTCCTCCTCGAGAAAAATCCAGCGGGGCTCCAGACCAGGAACTCACGTCCTCCGCGATGTCCGAAGACGTCCTCCGAAGAGCCTTGAGATCCCTGGCGTTCTGAATCGCCCAAGGATTCGCCGCCGGCGTGAGTAGGCCCTCGGAGGTCAAGGTACGGGGCCCTCGCGATCCGTCGACTTCCATGTCCCCGAATAGGGGGCCCACTCATTCATGTGCCTTTTCGGGGTTGGCGGCCCACTTCTGGTGCCACCGCAGGCGTCGCACACGGAACTCAACATCCAACGAGGGGATCCTCCCGTACCTCAGGACGGCTTCCAGAGATAGAGCGAGCATGGCCCCCTCCCAAGACGTAGCCGCCCCCCTCATCGCCTTGCGCCCGAAGAAGACAACCCTGGACGTGAGCGTGTGGAGCGGGCTCAAGGTCGGGAGAAACGCCTCGCACGCCGAGCAAGCAGGGCGCACAGTCCGAGCAAGAAAAACTGCACGCCTCTCAGTGTAGGCGATGCGCTTCGAGTACCAATACCTACCCATGGAAAGAAGCCCGAGGAGACCGCGGCGAATCTGGAGGCCAGCTCGGCCCGAAAGGAGCAGTTGTCTATGACCTGGCCCCCGAGGTGGCGAGTGGCGTCTGCTGGGGCCCCAGAGAGATTTGTTGTTTTTTCGATCACCTCTCTCCGACGCCCGTCGCCCACAAAGAACAGGAGGCTGACGTTCTTGGTCGGGTTCAAAGCGTCGCCGTGGCGCTTCAGCTCAGCCGACAGCAAAAAGTCGCATGCCCTCGACCACCGCGATAGCTCCAGAGTCGACGTCTGGTCCGCCACAGCAATCTTTCGGATGGTGTCGTCGACGTGTGAGTGAAACGCCAGATCCAAAGCAATCTCCTCCCCGTCGTAATGTAAAAGAATATCGCGCCACATAGCCGACTCGGGTCCGAACTTGGCGAACCGGTCTTGAACCGTCTCGAAAACCGTGAACGAAGGATTGCAAAAAAAACCGAAGGATTGCAAAAAAACCTAGGATTGCAAAAAAAACCCTTTGAACGAAGGATTGGATTGCAAAAAAACCTTTTTGCAATCCTTCGTTTTTTTGCAATCCTCCAATCCTTCGCTGATGTCCCTGACGAATACCTTCACCGCCCAGGGACCGCCGAGGAGCGCGCCGACGCCGGGGCGCCAGGCAGACACCTCGGCCGCCGACGGGGAGTGTATCCGTGGGCAAAACATGGCTCGGCCCGAAGCTCGGTGGGGTCGATCGCCGTGGCCATGAATCCTCTTTCCTCCCTCCTCCCTCCTACCTCCCTCCTCCTCCTCCTCCCTCCTCCTCCTCCTCCTCCTCCTCCTCCTCCTCCTCCTCCTCCTCCTCCTCCTCCTCCTCCTCCCCCTCCTCTACCCGTGGGGTCGATCGCCGTGGGGTCGATCGCCGTGGGGTCGATCGTCCAGGAAGTGGATGACTCGCTTCCAAGAGAGCGCCACTCCCTGGCCCAGGTGCCAGACGAATGGGACCTGTCCAGGTCGTCTCGGCCGGTGCATGAAAATCACAGGGAACCTGCGGGTGAACTCCTGATTAATCTCGGGGGTCGTGTAGACAAAGGAGGTGGAGGAGGAGGTGGAGGAGAAGGAGGAGGAGGAGGTGGAGGACCCCCTCCGCCTCCAACTTGTGGTGGTGGTGGTGGAAAACACGCCCATCACTCCTGGTGTCCATCCTGACCCGTGGTTCGAGGCCCAACACACGATCGCGTCGTAATAAATCAGGACGGGAGGTTTTTGGTTTTTGGCTAGTCTTGGCTTTGGGGGTCCTCGCTGGGCCCCGGGATCGTCAAGAAGCGACTCCTACAAGACAAACAAAAAAATGGTCCCGGGGAAAGGGTCGGGACTTCCAGGGGCCCAGTACTGAAAACATCAGGACGTCTCATGCCTGGGAACGCAACAGCTTGCCTGAACATTATCTCCACGTCGGCCGCTGAAAATACGGCCCCTTAGGGGCCAGAAGGGGAACGAAAGGTGCACGTTGCGTCGACCCCCTCCGCTTTCAGGAGCGAGAGCAGCACGTGCACGCACATGGAACCACGGTGGCTTCGAACAAGCGCACGGCACGAACGCTCGTCATACGACCTGTGGCTCGAGGCGGATGCGGCCGTGGCGGACAAGGCACCTGCGGGAGGCCCGGAGCGGGCGAACGCAAAAGCCAGGGAGGCCCGCCGCTGTCTCGACCACGGCCCTCCTCCGAGATGCGGCCCCCGGGTCGCTGGCCCGCGCCATCGCCTTCAGCACGCTCGAGTGCGCGACCGCGTCGGGTTCCAGGCGGGCGCCCCGGAGGCCCGCGAAGAGGGCCAGCGCCTCGTCCGCCCGCGCGGCCCGCGCGCACGCGTCGATGACGGTGCTCAGCGCGACGGCGCTGCTCGCGAACTCCCTCGCCATGGCGACCGCCCACGCCGCCGCCTCCTCCGCCCGGCCGCTCCTGGCGGCCGCCTTGATCAGCTTACCGAACGTCTTCTCGTTGACCCGGACGCCGATGGGCAAATTTTCCGCCACCGCTACCAGATGTAGGGGGAGAAGGAAGGATGAGGAGGTCCTGCTCCACCTCCTCCTCCAACTCCAACTCGTCCTCCTCCTTTTCCTTTTCCTGTTCCTTTTCCTTTTCCTCCTCCTCCTCCTCCTCCCTCTCTTACCCATTTGGTAGAGGTGGTGGAATATGGGCCCATCAGGACGCGATACCCCCTCATGCGGCCATACCTGAACATTCGCTGGGCCGACTCTTAACTCTCCACTGCCGTGGCCTTGGCCCCACGGGCCGACTCCCCCCCTAGACCGTACATTAGGGGACCGACCACAATCAACCTCCTATGAGAAACCCAACCCTGAGACCCCAGGGCGTCCATGGATTTTGGGTGTGGGAACGTCGCGCTCTCCACAGCGAAACCCTCGATACCCAGGGAACCCAGGGCAGCCTGGAGGCAAGCAAGGTGTTTCCTGGCATAGGTCTCCACTGTATACTCCAGATTTCGTAATAAAAGGGAGGGGGTCTGGACCCTCCAAGACAAGCCATTCCGGACCTCCCCCGTGGGAAAACCCTCCCAAACATCGTCCCCAGACCCCCCCGGCCCTCCAAGACAGCCTGGAAGAGACCCCCCCCGAAATGAGACCCCCCTCCCTTTAGTACGACCTGAGGCCCAAACCTGGCGGGCGCAAGCGTGGAAAATAGCGGCAACGGCGCCCTCTCGAGAACCGAAAACGAACAATTCACTAATCGACGTGTCACTGTTGGGGGTTCTGTCCACCCCCGAGCAAGGTGTTTCTTGGCATAGGTCTCCGCTGTATACCCACTGCCGTGGCCAAGGGCCCCACTGACCGACCTCATCCCCAGACCCCAGAGAGCTGGGGGGCCACCGGCTGCGCGCTGCGGGCTTCAGAGGGGCCCATCTCTCCAGCCGGGGGTGCTGGCACGGCTGGGCCGTTTTTGCCGTGGCCCAGCGGTGATGGGGATTGTCAGGAGGGGGGAAAAACACACACAGACACAGTTACTCGTCGATTCCCAAAACAATGGGAAAATATGAGAATCGGGGGGGAAGACAAACACCCAGAAGATATGGGAAACTACGGGGAATCGCTTTATTTGTGTGTATTTATTTGTGGGACTCCCAGGGCCCCTTCAGATTGGTCGAACTATACTGAGTACCTGGGGTTCGGAGGCAACCCCTTGGAGGCCTTCGTCAGAACAATTCAGGACTGTCAGGCCCGATCAAGATGCCATGAACGCGAATCAGCCCAAATTAAACTCAATATTCAGCCCGATCATACCCGACTAACTGGGTTTAAGCCAGATTAAGCGGGATTGACCGCAGATCCACAAGCGCCGATTCCGAATCTAACCTCCAGGGAATTGCATCCTAACTGGGGGGAGCAAAAAGGCACCGATACCGCCACTCCCTATACCTCTTCGTAGGGACATTCAGACGGGGGGTTCGAAGAAAGCGCAGTCATGACGACAAGGGAAGGGTAATTAGCGCTATCGGTGTCTTCACCCCCCCCGAGATCTGGCGTCACAAACAAATGCAATAATTTCGCGGGGAACCGCGACCAGAGCCATAGACCCTATATTGCTGCTGCATTATTCGAGCCTGATCAATATGTGGTGGTCACAGGGCCCGAAGACTGGCGAAAACGCCTGGTGTGGAAAAAAATGCAACGCCTGCATCGCCAGGCTTCTCCCCTCTGAGTGCCATGCCACTGCCCGGTCCAGATCCGGCACGTTACTGCAGGCCTTGAGCAGCGTGTTGAGCTCCTCGAGGAAGAACAAACTGCTTTGACATAACGCATAAACATTTTGGAGTCCCGAAACGGTGCGGTGACGGACCGTGCGGTGACCTCGAAATCCCCCAAAACCTCACCGCACGGTCCGTCACCGCACGGTTTTGGGACCTCGGAGGCCCCAGTCGCCCGAGACGTCCTCGGAGAACGACCCGAGTCCCAAAACCGTGCGGTGACCTCGAATCCCCACCAACTCACCGCGTGGTCACCGCCCCGTTCGGGGACCCCCGAAACATACACTTTCGTAGCTCCGCGCGGAACGCGCCCGGGGCGGCGCCGGAGGCGCCGCCATGGGGGGCACAGCACCGGACGGACCTCCGATGCACGTCGACCGGAAGCAAGAAAAAACAAGGCGGATACAATGGGTGGGGACCAGGCCCTCCCAGATTTGGACGCCCGAAATAGGGTCGGAAAGCATGGGCACAATGCCCAACAACAAATGTTGTCCCAAACCAGCAGCGGCCGCTGTTGGGCAGGCGGCCTTCTGTCTCGAGTGGACAGAGGCCGCGGCGGCGCAGACAGCGAGTCCTGTTCAAAATGGACAGGAACTGCTGTTGGTCTTTGTACCCTTTCTTTCTGTACCCATGTCGGTCGTCCCGACCAGAGAATAACCACACATAGCATGGGCACATCGGCTCTTGAAGCAGGAAGGCGCTGGAAATAGATTGGGCTCCGGGAGTCCAAACAAAAAACACCTACGGCGAATTCGTGTCGTGCCGACCCTGTCGTTGGTTCTTGACACCGCGGGGATCGTTCATCCTTAAACGATCGGCCGCTTCCGCAACGCCCAATCGTTCAACATCGACCAATGCTGGGTCGCCCGCGGCCTTCAACCGCGAACGCCGGCGGCGGGATCGCCGCCGGTCGACACGACGCGAACCTACCGTACATGAATACGGCCTCCCAATCCGCGAGGACAGCCTCGTGTTACGGACGTTCGCGCCGTGAATACTTTCGAAACCAACGTGGATTCATGTACATCCTGCTTTCGCTCCTGAAAGCCGGATGGGTGTCGACGCAACGCGCACCTTTCGTTCCCTTTCTGGGCCCCAGGGGGCCGCACTGTCAACTGCCTACGTGGAGAGAATGCTCAGGCAAGTTCTTACGTTCCCAGACATGTGACGTCGTGATTTGTTCAAGGCGGGAGCCCCAGACGTCCCGACCCTTTCCCCGAGACCGGTTTTTCATCCTGCGTCGTTTGTTGACGGTCCCGAGGCCCGGCGAGGGCCCCCCGAGGCCGAAAATTGCAAAAACCTCCCCGTCTTGATTTTTGTACGACGCGATCATGTCTGGGTTCCTGGCTCCAGCGTGCCCGCGCCGCAGGCGCCGCCGCGGGCGCGGCCAGAGGCGAGCCGAAGCAGCTCCCGCTCCGCCGCGGGCAGGTCGCCCGAAGAGGCCCGCTCGTTCAGCGCGGCGGAGCGCTCCCGCGCGGCCTGTGCTCGGACGGAGGATGAAATACAGTAGAGGCCAGTCAACAAGAGACCTTCCACGAGAAACCCAACCCTGAGACCCTGGGAAGTCCATGGATCTTTGGTGCGGCAGCGTCACTCTCTCCGCGGCATACGCATCGACACCCAAGAAACCCAGGGCACCCTGGAGGCAAGAAGAGTGTTGCTTGGCAGGGGTCTCCACAGTACAGTGCGGGCGCGGCCGCAAGAAACCCTTGCAAGAAACCCTCGCGTCAAATCGCAGGAAAACGTTGTTGCGAAAATGGCAGTCTCTGGCAGGGCTCGAGGCAAACAATGCTCCTATGTTCGCCTTGTTTTCGGCACCCCTCGTCCTGTCTTCGTTCCACCTCTGCTGCAAAACACTTTCAGAACGAAATCGGTCCACGAATTGCGACAGACTTGCAGCATCCTGAAAAATCACGACCGAAGCCCCAGACCCTATTCGTCTGCCTCGAGCCCCGCTGGACCTCATCTTTCTGCCTCATGTCTCCAGCTGGATCGACCTGTGAGGGCCCCGGGGCCCGAACCTGGGCGCAAGCGCCCGTGGTGAAAGACTGCATCGCCGGGCTGTCAGGGCCAGAGCGCTCACCCGTGCGGGTCTCGCGCGGGGGGGGGCTGTTGGCGGGCCCGGGGCCTCCTGAAGGGGGTCCGAGCAGATCGGGTCGGAGGCTTTGCGCTGGATCGCCGATGTGTCGCCGGCGTGGGGAAACTCGGGCTCCGCATCGAGCCGCATCGCCGATGCGTCGGCGACGCGGAGCGATCCTTCGACCCCGTCTACTCGGACCCCACTTAGGAGGCCTAGAAGCTCGCTCTGGGGGGCAGGTGAAGGACGAGGAGGAGGAGGAGGAGGAGGACTAGTGTAAACCCAAGAGTCATCAACGATGATGGACTTCACCCTCCCTCCAAGCGCCCTCTTCACAGGCACCTACAACGGTTCATTTCCATTGAGGGAACTGCCCCATTGGCAGGCAACCGGTTGAAAGTCCTGAAACATGCCAAAACATTGTTCTCGGGATTTCAACGCCACGTATCAACCTGACTGCTGCGATTTGGAAATCCGGAATCGTGCCATAACGCCATTTTTGGGATCCCAATTCCGCGAATCAACATAAACGTTGCGCCAACATAATCCCGAATCCTTCCAGAAACCATTTCTGGTACGTTGACCATGGACACCCGTGAAACTCTTGCACAACTTTGAAACGAATGTGCGCGGAGCTAAGGCGAGAACGATCGCAAATATTAACAAGCGAATGTGCGCGGCACTAAGGCGAGAACCACATTTTGAAAACGACCCGCCCTCAATCCGTGAAGCTCTTGCAATAATTTGAGACGAATATGCGCGGCGCTAAAGCGATAGCCAAATGTTGCCCTCAATCCGAGAAACTCTTGCAACTTGTAAAGCGAATGTGCGCGGCACCAAGGCGGAAAAACACATTTTGAAAACGACCCGCCCTCAATCCGTGAAATCATCTCAATGGCTTAAAACGAATGTGCGCGGCGCTGAGGCGAGAGCCACATGTTGAAAACCACCCGCCCTCAATCCGTGAAGCTATTGCAAGTGTTTAAAACGAATGTGCGCGGCGCTAATGCGAGAAACACATTTTGAAAACGACCCGCCTTCTATCCGTGAAGAGAATGCGCGTGGCGCCAAGGCGAGAGCCACATTTTGCAAACCACCCGCCCTCCATCTGTGAAACAGTTGTCACTCTTAAGCTTCATGATCATAAATAGTGAGGAGGTCTCAGGCGAAACGCCCGGCCCGCCCTGAAAACTGGCCTCGGGGTGCGACAGGGGGAAGTTAATCATAAGGAGAAGGAATGGAGGAGGACGAGGGAGGAGGAGGAGGGAGGAGGGAGGACAAGAGAGGAGGAGGGAGGAGGACAAGGGACGAGGTGAAGGAGAAGGAGGAGGAGGAGGAGGAGAAGGGAGGAGGAGGGGAGGGAGAGGAGGGAGGAGGAGGAGGAGGAGGAGGAGGGAGGAGGAGGGAGAGGAGGAGGAGGAAAAGGGAGGAGGACAAGGGAGGAGGACAAGGGAGGAGGGAGGAGGAGGGGTGGGCTCTTGGCGGGCCCTGGGCCCGGGCGGCCGCTGCCGTGATGCCTCCCGCTGGGAGCCCTTGGCCAGCCGCGCCAGGGCTCTCTGGAGGCGTGCGCCCCGTCCCTCGAGGGGTCGACCCCCAGACCTTCGACAGGAGGAGGAGGCGGAGGAGGAGGAGGAGGAGAGAAGAGGAGGCGGAGGAGGAGGGGGAAGAGGACGAGGAGGGGCAGGAGGAGGAGCAGGAGGGGGAGAGGGCAGAGGAGGAGGAGGAGTAGCAGGAGGAGGAGGGGGCGGAGGAGGGGGAGGAGGGAGGAGGAGGACGAGGAGGACGGGGAGGAGGAGCAGGAGGGGGAGGGGGCGGAGGAGGAGGAGGGAGGAGGGAGGAGGAGGAAGAGGAGGCGGAGGAGGAGGGAGGAGGAGGAGGAGGAAGGAGGAGGAGGAAGAGGAGGAGGAGAGGGAGGAGGAGCAGAAGAGGGATTGGGGAGGAGGAGCGGGGGGAGGAGAAGGAGAGGGAGGAAGGGGGCGAGAGCCCCCAGACCTTTGACTAGGGCATCGACGGCAGAGCGTAGGCCCCCTCGCGTTGTGACGCAATCACAACGGGAGGCTTTTCGCTACCTTCGGCCGAAAAGCTAATTTCGGCTACTTTTCGCTACGTTCGGCTTCCGGGGCGTCAAACGACGGCTCAGCCTGAAAAAAACGGTCCCGTGGAAGGGCTCCAGAAACCTTGGGGTCGACAGTGTGAACAACCGTCGGGGGTCTGGGAGTTGTTGTGACCACGATGGAAGCCACCGCCTCCGCAAGTTCACATAAAAAACAGGACGAGCGGAATTCCGTATTTTTGGGGCAGCGTTTCCATCTTGCGCTAATGGCCCATTCGGCTCTGCGCGCAGCTTAAGCAATTACGTGCGCCCGGTACTTCAAAAATGACCCTAGCAAAGCACCCTGATAGCAGCAAAAGCAACATGAGAGACATGTGGGACCTGCAGGACATGTGGGACCATCGAGGCCTACTAGACCAGTTGGAGCTGTGAGTCCTGTGGGACCTGTGGAACATGCGGGACCTGCGGGACGTGTGGGGCCTGCGGGACCTGCGGGACCTACGAGACCCACGAGCCCTCCAGGGCCTGTAGGACCTCTGGGACTTGTGGGACCTCCGGGACAAACGAGCTCTGTTGGAGCTGTGGGACCTGTGGGACCTCGACTTGTGGGACCTGCGGGACCAAAGAGACCTGCGAGACCTGTGGGATATGTGGGAATGCGGGACCAGTGGGGCCTGTGGGACCTGAGAAACCTATGAGACCTGTGGGGCCTGTGTGGCCTGTGGGGCCTGTGGGACCTGCACGACTTGCGAGACCCGTGGGACTTGTGGGACCGGTGGGATCCGTCGGGCCTGTGGGACCTGTGGGACCTGTGTGGCCCGTGAGACCTGTGGGACCTGTGAGACCTGTGGAACCTGTGGAACCTGTGGGACCTGTGGGACCTGTGGGACCCGCTGGGCATGTGGGGCCCGTGCGACCTGGGGGACGCGTAGGACATGTGAGAGATGTGGGGCCAGTGGGACCTGTGGGACTTGCGGGGCCTGCGAGACGTTTGTGGGTCATGTGAGACCTGCGGGACCTGCAGGACCAACGAGACCTGCGAGACCGGGCCTGTGGGACCTGTGGGACTTGTGGGACCTCCGGGACAAACGAACTCTGTTGGAGCGGTGGGACCTGTGGGACTTGTGTGACCGGTGGGATCCGTCGGGCCTGTGGGACCTGTGGGACCTGTGTGGCCCGTGAGACCTGTGGGACCTGTGAGACCTGTGGAACCTGTGGGACCTGTGGGACCTGTGGGACTCGCTGGGCATGTGGGGCCTGTGCGACCTGGAGACGCGTAGGACATATGGGATATGTGGGGCCAGTGGGACCTGTGGGACTTGCGGGGCCTGCGAGACGTTTGTGGGTCATGTGAGACCTGCGGGACCTGCAGGATCAACGAGACCTGCGAGACCTGCGGGACCTGTGGGACCTGTGGGCGTTGTGGGAGCGGTGGGACATGTGGAACCTGTCTGCGGGACCTGTGGGACTTGCGACAGTTGTGGAACTTGGGGGACGTGTGGGTCCCATGGGACCCGTGGGACCTGTGGGATCTGTGGAACCTTGGGGACCTGTGGGACCTCTGGGGGCTGCTACACCTGCGCGACCTGCGAGACCTGTGGGACCTGTGGGAACTGTGGGACTTGTGGGAAATGTGAGATCTTTGAGTCCTGTGGGACCTGCGACCGCCGAGGACCAAAATAAGACCCTGAATTGTAGGACCGCTGGGCACCCAAATAAGGGCCTTATTTGGGCCCTCAAGCACTCTTTACTAAATTCTGTGGATCGACAAATGTCTCGTGCTTTGGGACCATCGAGGCCTCCAGGGGGGATTTATCAAGGAACCCGGGGGGACCCATGTTTTCTTAGAACGGGGGGGACCCAAAATGCAAACATCCCGGCGTGGCCGTCGGAGGCCCCAAACCAGCCAATCACGCGACGCAACTGTTCTGCCCTGACCTGAAGGCGACTCTGATGCCGTCGCCGCCGCATGTGCACTGCATCCGCCAATCTGCAGGCAACCGCCATGGAGGCGGGCACGACCCCAGACGGCACCAGCAAACCACTTGGGAAGCTCACGACGGCCCACGATGGCCCCGAAATGTCCCACAGAGCCCCAAGACGGGCCCAAGAGTGTCCCAGGAGGCCCCCAAGACAACCCAACAGGATCCCGTGACAAGCCCAACGTGGCCTGAGAGTAACCTGTAAGCGACCCAAGAAAGGCAAGAACAACGGACGCATAATGAGGCGGAAAAGTAGGGGGGACTCACAACGGGGGGAAGGAGGGGGGGACGACGACGAAAACGAAGGAGTACGCCCCGAAACGACGCGGATAGAGTGCCACATGTTGCGGCCATTGCGCAGGCATTTGCGACGATCTGTCGCGTGGCACGGCTTTCTTGGCGTTACTCTCAAACTCGCCGCGCCGAGTAATGCGCAACCGCAGTGCGCGGGACTCGCAGCGAACAAATCGGCATAACGCAGACGCCCGGTTCTCTACGCGCAAACACAACGCGCATGATTTGTCAACGAAGTCGCGCCATCCACGAGCCGACTGGGCTCTCCACTTTGAGATGCGCGCAATGAAGAAACACCAACAACAACAACAACATAATGCGGAAAGAGCGACGGGGAGGGCAAAGACAAGAGGTTGAACGAGAGGCGAACCACAAATGATAAACGCCCGAACAAAAACGTGACAAACGCAAGCGCTGAACAGAACAACCGGAACGCCATTTCAACGTTTTGGCGCGCCGCCAAGGAAGGGAAGGGGGGCGGGGGCCCCGCGAGCCCAGAGGGAACAGACCTGGCGGCATGCTGGACGCGACGGGAACCCTCGCGATGCGGAAGCGCTCTGCCCGCACGAACGAGCGCATCGTCGCCCAAAATCGGCGCGATCACGCCGCGCGAAGCATCGCTGCGCGGGGGGCAACCCGCCCATGCACGACCCGCGCAGCTGACATGCGACAGGGGCGTTACGCGCCGCCTCAAACATAAGGCTACAATGCCGCAGCGACCACGTTCTTACGCATTCGACCTCGTGCGCGTGCGTGCACCGTGGCCAACGGGCACAGCCGCGCACGATCGCCACCCGGCCTCGCGCAGGCACACGGAAGGGAATGTCTGCGGGACAAGCGCCGCAAGTGGCCAGGCTGCAGCCTTGCGACGAAGCGCTGTGTCAAACCAGAAACACGTGCCAACGACAACCGCAATACAGAAACGACCGACAAAAAAACCTCCAGAACTTCCGCGGTGGTTTCTTGCGCGGTCATGTTGCACCCACATGCTGATGTTTTGTTCGTCGAAGTATACATGCTCCGCAGACCTACGGAGCGTTCGACGCATACAGTGCTGAAGGAACTTCTTAGAAGGCAGCGGGACTTCTCAAAAGCCATCGCGCCTTCTGAAGCATGTTCTGCATCTTCGGGGAAGGCTTAGAACACTCCTCAGAAAACCGGGGGACTTCCGAGCCTTCTGAGAAGGCCCACTCCTTCTCACTTCCCCCCCGGGCTCGCTGCCGAGAGTTGTTTCATCCCCAGCCTGACTTTTTGTTCGTCTAAGTAGAATGCTCCGCAGACCTACGGAGCAGTCGACGCATTTCTCACATACAGTGCGGGCGTGGCTGCGAGAACCCCTCGCAAGAGACCCAACCCTGCAAAACAGCGCGCGAGGTGCACCCCAGGGGAAACATGCAGCACCCTGAATGCAGCAGCTTCTCCGACGGCCGCGGGGAGTCGCCGCGCAGCGCGCGGAGCGAAGACACCCAGGATGCCAGGACGAGAAGCGCATGGTTTCTTGATGCGCGCCCCCACTGTCTTGGACGAACACGAACAAACCCAGACATGAGACGTCCTGCTTTTCCCCATACGGGGTCCCCAGAAGTCCCGACGCTCTCCCCGGGACCGGCTTCTCGTCCTGAGTCATTTTGTTGACGGTCCTGAGGCCCGTCGAGGGCCCCCCGGGGCCGAAGCCCGCCAAAAACCTCCCGACCTGATTTCTTTTTTTAACGACGCGATCATGTCTGGGATTGGACGGAAGCTCCGGTGTTGGGCAGTACTGTAGCGGGCCCCCCTAACTCGGGACCTGCCCGACCCCGCGCCCCGCCCAGGACCTCCGAGGGGGGCATCCCCGGCCACGGCGGCGAGGGCCAGCCCCTCCGCTCCACGAGGCCTCACAGGCGAGAAGCGAACCCTCGAAGACGACGACGACGACGACGACGACGACGGGGAGGACGAGCGCGACTGCGACGACGATCGGGCACGTCCAGGGGCCGCGCTCTGAGGAGAATCTCGAGGAGAGTCCAGCCATGGCCACGGGGGCGCCCTGACGGGGACCCCAAAACACCCCCAGACTGCCAAACGCATGGCTCTAGAGGCCTTCTGAGGTCTGCGGAGGTCCTTCCTCAAGTCCCCTGAGATCCCTGGAATTGGGCGGAGGTTTGCCGGCTGCCGCAGTAAGGACAAGAATGCCCGAAACCGTCCATCG